CTGCTGCTGCATACTCTGCTAGGGGTTTATCCCCAAACACTAACAAGCCTCCAGAGTGTTGAAGGCCAGCCCAGATTCAAATATTCCTAGCTTAGTCAGAATAGAGCTGGAAGGGACCTTGGAGATCTTCTAGTCCAACCCACTGCTCAAACAGGAGATCCTATACCATTTTAGACCAATGGTCGCCCATCAAATCTCATCTTAAAGACCTCCAGTGATGGGGCAGCCACAACTTCTGGTGGCAAGCCGTTCCACCGGTTAATTGTCCTCGCTGTTACGAAGCTTCTCTCTAATTCCAGGTTGCTTCTCTCCTTGGTTGGTTTCCACCCGCTGGTCCTTGTCTCGCCTTCTGGTGCTTTGGAAAATAGCTTTGGCAAGAAGATGGCTAAGATATCCCGGCACAGATCTAACTATGTTTATCTGGCATTTGGGCTGGGTGCAAGCCACCCCCCCCAAAAACAAATCATCCACAACACCTCTTCGCTTAGGACGATTAAGAACAGCCTCTGGGCAAAAAAGGAAGTTATTGGTGTGAAGGGAAAAAGCTCACCATGTACCGCAAGAAACAGGACGGTTGCATTTTGGTAGACTTATCTGCGTGGGCACTGAACCAGGAATCCCATTAAAGAACGCCGCAGCATTCGATCACTTCTCTCTCCCTTCCTTATTTTCTGTTGATTTCTCCTCTTGCATCCAAGTGCCAATCATAGCTTGCCAGCTTACATTCAAGAAACAGGCCCCCTTCCCTGTGAACTCCCATATGCCAGTGAAGAATATTATTGGTCACTCGGGGTTGAAATGAGGGGCATCTGGTTATGGGTTTTGGGTTGTTTTGCACACATTTCCTGACCCAAACTAGGTTAACATGAGTTGTGGTGGCGCAGTGGTTAGAATGCAGGCTACTTCTGCTGACTGCCGGCCGCCTGCAATTTGGCAGTTCGATTCTCACCAGGCTCAAGACGGACTCAGCCTTCCCTCCTTCCGAGGTGGGTAAAATGAGGACCCAGATTGTTTGGGGGCAAGAGGCCGACTCCATCAACCACTTAGAGGGGGCTGGGAAGCACTGGGAAGCAGTAAAGGTTCCCCTCGACATACGTGCTAGTCACTCTAGGGGGCGCTGCTCCTCTCCGTTGCAAAGCCAAAGAAGAGCCAGCGCCGTCCGAAGACGTCTCCGTGGTCCTGTGGCCGGCATGACTAAATGCCGAAGGCGCACGGAAGGTCGCTGTTCCCTTCTCACCAAAGGGGTCCCTATTTTTCTACTTGCATTTTTTACGTGCTTTCGAACGGCTAGGTTGGCCGAAGCTGGGACAAGTCACAGGAGCTTGCTCCATTATGTGGCGGTAGGGATTCAAACTGCCGACCTTTCTGATTGGCAAGCTCAGCGTCTTTGCTATTGAGCCACCGTGTGTGAAGCGATATATAAGTCTAAGGGCTGTTGCCATCGTCAGTGCTCAGGTAACTAGGCAACATTAACCAAGCACGGAGAGCACCAAGGACCCTTCTATGAGGGTGATTTCAATTGGAGGACGCTGGAGCTCCCCACTTCCTGACCACTCCTCTGCTTCCTCTCTCTCTCATCCCTTTATCTCCCATTTCCCCCCCCCCCCCCAAGTACAGGAAGTACTTACAAGTTCACTTACAAAGTTACCACGGCATTGAAAAAAGTGACTTATGACCATTTTTCACATACTGGTGACCGCTGCAACATCCCTAGGGTCATGCGATTTACATTCAGAGGCTTGACAGCTGACTCGTATTTATGACGGTGGCACAGTGTCCCCCCGGGTGTGTGTGTGTGTGTGTGTGTGTGTGAGATGTCACGTGACTCCCTTTTTGCGACCTTCTGGCCAGCCAAGTCCATAAGGGATCCGGATTCACTTAACAACCGTGTTCCAATCGAACAACGGCCGTAATTTCATTTAGCAAACGCGGCGAGAAAAAGTCGCCAAATGAGGCAAAAGTCACTGAACAAATGTCTCGCTTGGCAACATACATTTTGGGTTCAGTCTTGGTCGTACGTCGAGGGCTACCTGCAGGGGTGGGATGGAAATATTTTTTACTACTGGTTCTGTGGGCGTGGCTAGGTAGGGAGTGGCCATGTGAACTGGGCAGGTGTGGCTTTTGTGTGTGTGCAGCACCCCACCCTACCCCAGGGCTCCATTTTTTTGGCCTCCTGGATGAAGGAGTTAAGACAGCAAGGGGGATTCCGGCACAGCTGATCATTAGAACAGCTGATCATCGGGAGGAAGAGAAAAAAAAGAAACACTGGTTCAGCCCAACCGTTAGCTGTTTTTTTTACTACTGGTTCAGCCTAACGGTAGCATTTTTTACTACCAGTTCGCCCGAACCAGGCCAAATTGGTAGAATCCCACCACTGTCTACCTGTAAAATAACTGTTTTAAGTTGGCCCCAAAAAATGCCGCTCTGGCAGCAAAGTCCAGGCAGGGGGGGCCCTGCCACTGTGTCCCGCTTCGCTTCGTTGTCTCCATGCTAGATCTAGATCAGTTGTGATGTCAGGCGTGCGACACTGGGATCGTGGGAATGGACGCCCCAGCAGGGCCAGCTGGAAAGTTTTTAAGAGGTTGGAAGAGGGGAAAGGATCGTCTCACCAGCTGCTTCCTTCAGCATTTTGCTACAACTCAGGAATTGGGCTGAAACTGGAAATATTACCTATCTTTTCCAAGATTTACGTTCTGTCAGCCTGGGCTGGATTCCAGCAAACGTCAAGACCGATCAGGGAAATTTCTACGCTGTCAATAGATCTTTAAAGAACCAGGCAAAAAGCAGGGAGGCGTTTTTTGAACCAAATGACCCTCATGCTGGCTAATATTCTTTCTTCCCTGCCTCAGAGCAAAGCCCAGACCAACATGCTTTTAAAAAGGAATGTCAGAAATTTGTATTTCCGGTTCCCCGGCACCAAGTAAGTATAGAAATGACCATCATTAAGACAAGGGAGCAACTGACCATCGAGAGGCAAAAGAGAAGGAATGAACAATGCTAAAGCTATTTTGTTTTGCTCGCGATTTCATTTTTAAATAGTACTTCCAGCACATTCAACAAAACATTTGGGTAAAAGGTGGAAGATTTCAGGACCCCCTTTGTCCTTCCCTTAGTGGGGGGCAATGAAAGGACCATAAAAGGGGGGGGAAGAGAGGAATAATAAGCATCTCTCTGATAACATTTGAATTGTAAATGCAATTTAAAATTACTAACATTCGTGACTAAAATACGGGGGTCGTGTTAGACAAGAGAAAAATATTTTTTAAAAAATTAGATCACCTTTCCCGCTCATAAGCTGTTTTTAATCGCTTACCAATTCTTAACTTTTTTTTTTTTTTTTTTTTACTGTGCATTTCCTGAGTCAGGAGCTTCGTTGGTCAAAAGCAACTTAACTGGATGCCTCGTTCTAAAAGACAGCATGGAGGAAGGAAAATCTGGGCCGTTTGTGGAAGAAAAACAAAGAAACCAAGAGGCAGCGGCTCTTCACAGACTGACCCAGTGGGGGGGGGTTCTGATCCTAATTTGGGACTGATTTGTACCTGGCAAACTTCCACCCAGCCCGTCTTTGCTCCAGCGAGCGGAGTTCAAAATAAACCTTTTGTGGCCCTTCCAGTTGCTCCGGGGGATGGAGAGATCTGAAGTGTGGAGTTTAACTGTGAACATTAGCCAAGATAAAGCATCTTTCATTTATTAAAGTATCCCCTGCAAAGGTGGTGTTTTTGTTGTTCGGGAACACCTCTCTGCACTGTCTCCTTTGTTTTGGCACAGCAGCACAGCCGGCCCCGGCTCCTCTCACGTTAAACAAGTGTCCCACGGACTGAAATCTGCCCCGAGGATTCCTTCCAAGGGAGGTCACCTAGGCCGCCTGGAGAACGGAAACGCCCCGTCAAAATAACTCCAATAGTTAGTCTCTTGTTAAGAGTCAAGTAAGCCTCTGGAACTTTCTAGTTTGGTGGCATTTTTGGAGTTCTCGTCTCTAATGATCTATGATCCAGAGCTCACTGTAACAACATTGCCGAAAAGGCATTAGGAGTCGTTAACCTAATTTGCGTAGTTTCTTCTCTGGTAATACTGTACGGCTAACTAGAGCATACAAAATATTTGCTAGAACCATTCTCGAATACAACTGATCAGTCTGGAACCTGGACTACATATCGGACATTAATACTATCGACAGAGTCCAGAGATATTTCACGAGAAGAGTCCTCCACTCCTCTACTCGCAATATAGAATACCTTATGCCACCAGACTTGAAATTTTGGACCCGGACAACCTAGAACTACACCATCTAGGGTCTAACCTAAACATAGGATATAAATTTATCTGCTACAATGTCCTACCTGTCAATGACTACTTCAGCTTCAACCGCAATAACACACGGGCAAACAATAGATACAAACTCAAGGTAAACCGCTCCAAATTCAATTGCAGGAAATATGACTTCAGCCACAGAGTGGGTCAATGCCTGGAATGCACTACCTGACTCTGTGGTTTCTTCCCCAAACCCCAAAAACTTTAACCTTAAGACTGTCGACTGTGGACTCACCCCATTCTTAAGAGGTCTGTAAGGGGACGTGCATAAGCGCACTAACATGCCTACCATCCCTGTCCTAATGTTTCCTTTTTATTCACGCCCATTTCATGTCGTCTTAATCGTGTTTCCAATTATACCTGTTAATCTAAAACTTGCTTGATAAATAAATAAATACATTTTTGAAGAGGCCGATCGAAACAGAGGTCAAGAGGAGGAACGTGAAAAAGCAGAGATTCTGAAGGGTAAAGGGGACTTGTTAAAGGAGAATCAGGGGCAGGGGGTGCAGTGGATCTGCTACAGAAGGGGTCGCCGACCTTTCGGACCTCAGGGACCACCAAACTCATAAGTTTAAATCCCAGGGACCACTAACCGGTTCTGTGGCCGTGGCCTAATTTGTGGGTGTGGCTTGGTGGTCATGTGACTGGTTGGGCATGGCTTGTATGTAAATATTATAAATATTTATATAAGTATTGAATTTTTTTTTATAAAAAAAAAGAGCAACTTTTACCCAAAATCAAGCAAAGCAGGCAGGCAGATTGAGTTGCTCACAGAATCACATATTCATTCAGAGATCTATCTGCCATCAGCTACCTGAGTCTGTCACATAAAATTTGCTAGCAAGTAAACTCACAAAATTAACTCACAACACACCATGTATGTAAATTTTTTTTTTATATAAAAAAAGAGCAAAGCAGGGAGGCAGATTGAGTTGCTCACAGAAACATTCAGTGATCTATCTATCTGCCATCAGCTAGCTCAGTCTCTCAAATTTGCTTGCCACGAATCTGCACTGAATAATAGAAACTTCAGTCCTAAGAGAGGTTCGGCTGTGCTTTAAAGCAGAGCTGAATATCTAAAGACTCACTAGAAAGCAAGAAATCCAACCATTTCCTGCTTTCTAGCTAATCTAAATCTACTGGCATAGCAGAACAGCTGATGGTCTGAAAGAAAAAAAAAGGAAAAATAGCAATTTAGCAAGCAAGTTTGCCAGGGAAGGAGTGGGCAGGGAGGGTTCCCCCGGGCCATGTGGGTGGCGCAGCCTGGATTAATTGCTTTGGGGGGTGCTCTGGGGGTGAGATTTCTCTGCAGCCCACCAAAATCTTCTCACAGCCCACCAGTTGGCGACCGCTGTCCTACAGGCAGGGTCAGAAAACAGAAAGGTGCGCCTGCCCAGGGTTTGTATGAGAGGGGACATATGAAGAACGGTTGCTGGACCTGGGTACGTCTAGTCCAATGAAAAGGACTGGGGGGGACATGATAGCATGATTCCAATATCTGAGAGACTGTCCCAAAGAAGAAGGGGGTCAAGCTATTCTCCAAAGAACAAGAAGTAATAGGTGGAAAGTAACCAAGGAGAGACCCGACCTAGAGCTAAGCAGAAATTTGCTGACAGCGAGAGCAATTAATCAGCAGAACAAATTGCCTCCAGAAGTTGTGAATGTTCCATCACTGGAGACAGAGATTGGACACCCATTTGTTTGAAATGATATAGAGATTCCTGCCTGAGCAGGGGGCTGGACTAGAAGACCTCCAAGGCCCCTTCCAACTCTTGTCATTCTGTTTTATTGCTTTCTTCAAAGGGCAGGCAGCCCCTCAGAGAACTAGAAGGGCGGATGAAAGACCCCAGGCTTTCCCTCCAGGAACCCCCAGCCCGGCCATTTTGAGAGCGTGCCCAAAACAGGCCCATGCCAGACTCCCAAGACCACACAGATGGATGGATGACTCCAGGCCACGAAGTAAATTCTCACAGAGCAAGAAACATTCTTGACGTACCAGCAGAGACCGTAAATTAAGCTTAAACGGAAACATTCCCTTTTTTTAACCTCTCCTCTTAGAGGAGTTCCCATTTTAGCTCTCAGCCAGAGGTATCTTCCCCGCAGGAGAAAGGCCTGAACAAAACGCAGCCTTTTGACTCAGCAGCTGCGTCCTTGAAACTAGTCGAGAAAGCGCTTAGGGACTCTGGAGAGAAAAGGCAACGAAAAGCATCTAGCCACAAAAACTTTAGAATGGTCCTTTTCTGCCTCAAAGAAAGAAAGGTGACTGGGCTACAATAAACGGGAAGCCCCCGTTACGGTGTTCAGAATAAATAGAATTATCTTTTGCAAAATGTGAAGGACCGAATACTGAGCACAAACGGAAGGAAGGAAGGAAAGCAATACAGGCCACAGGGCAAGGCGTAAAAGAAAAAAAAAAAAAGGATGAAGACTTCAACACGAGAAGTGCCAACTCTACAGAAAATTGCGTCGAATCCGTCTTCTTTATTTTCAGAAATATTCTGGCTGGCTCTCGAGGAGATGATGGTGCTGGGCTGGAAGCTGGACCACTTAAAGGAAGACTGAAGCTTGTCAATATGGCAGTAACCATAAACTCCATTTGGAAGAAAAGAAAAGAAAGTGAAATATTAAAAAAGGACGAACACTCGTGAGCCAATCAAATCTCAAGAACTTAGGGACGTTTATTTTTCTCCTTTCACTTAGGAGCATTGGTACCACTTTGCAAAGCTGCACCAGAGGCCTATGAGGTTTCCCAAAGGAAAAATCTGCTTATTAAAAAGAGGAAGATGGTCTCATCTCTGCCACAACCTCATCAAAACACAAACATCTGCCTTTACAAATTCCTTGTGTGTCCACTCACACTTGGCCAATAAAGAATTCTATTCTTTTTTTATTCTTTCTGGCTTGTTGTGAAGCCTCATGCTTCTATACAATATACCAGAAAAATATTGCCAAGGCAGCAGCTTGGGCCTCTCTTTCCTCATTCATGGGATGTTTGCACAGAAGTGTATTGCTTTTTACCAGCATTCAAAGCACTCCTAAAAGGACATTTCCTTGTAGGCAATTGCTGGAGGGTTTAGGGCCAAAGTTTTCCCTACCCTGATCTCTCAAAGAAAGCAGTAGCTTGAATTTAGAAGTAGTTATTAAACTTGTTGTAAGTGAAGGTCCCATTTCTGCTTAAAAGTGAAGGATTTTTTAATTTATATATTGGACTAGCTCGATAGCCATGCTTCGCTACGAAGCTATGTGGTCGGGCTTTGTTTTTGGGGAGGAAAATAAGGGGAAAAAACACACACACCCCGCCAAAATTCCCCGCCTCCTAAAAACACACAAGCCTCCACACAACAGACCAACTAATCCTGTCCAACAGCTCATTGACGGTGGTCCTTAAGTTCGTTGTGAAGTGCAATTATAGCTCTGGGATAAAAAACTATGAGAAGGTTGCAAAAGGGGAAGGCGTGAGGTTGGGACGCCGCAACGGTCGTAAGTATGAGTTGGTGGCCAAGCAAATTTTGATCAGGTGACCCTGAGGAGGTCAAGTGAATTTTGATCAGGTGAATTTTGATCAGGTGACCCCGAGGAGGCAGCAAAGGTCATAAACTGTGAAAAATGGCCACAAGTCACTATTTTCAGTGCCGGTGTAACTTTGAACGGTCACTCAATGAGTTGTTGTAATTCGAGGACTAAGCTGTATTTGCAGAGTCTCCCCCAGTCAGTTAGCATTCTGGAATTATATGGTTATAGAGCCAGTTCCACCTAACCTTATTTCTATATAAAAGCGAAAGGCCCCTCATGCGTCATCACAAAATCTCCAGTACCGTAAAGCCTATAAACTTGAAATTGGGCACATATATTCCTCTTGGCTCACTAACAAAGGACTTTTCGAAATGACCATCAGACCCATTAGCATTTCCTATATTATTATTATTAACAAGCTCTGGTGCTAAAGATGTTTACTCCCCCTCCCCACCTGAAAAGAAATCTCTTCCAAATGCAAAACACAAGCAGAGGAGTTTCAGTTTCAGGGCACCAAGCAGCTTTAGTACAGAACAGTTGAGCTAAGCCACGCCCAGGCTCCTTGCTGTCTCCTTGCTCACACAGCAAATACTCTCTCAGTTTCCAAACAGCCCTCAACTCTCTCACACACTGACAGGACGCTAGCCAGGTGAATACCGATGGATGCTGGTAAGCAGGGGCACAATTTTTCCTCCTTATTTTCCTCCCAAAAAAATAAGCCCGAAAACATAGTTTCGTAGCGAAGCCTGGATATAAAACTAGTTGCTTATGAGGAAGCTGCTGGAGGCTGGATTTCTCCTTTTGCTTTCTTCCCCTCCCAATGAGGCCTGAAAGTGTTAATTTCTTTCTCCAGGCGCACCTGCGAGAGCCGAGCACCAAACCACAGCCCTCCAAAGGCAGGCTATTTCTGCTTAGGCGCTGGTGCAAAAAATAAACGGGGGGGAAAAGCAGATAAGGAAGAGATTGGTTTCAACTCCATAAACCCGTCGGCCAAAAAAGAAGGGTGGGGAAAAGAGAAAAAAGCAGAAGGGCAGGACAGCAGATACCCTGGAACATTATCAGGGAAGTTTTATTTACAGCTCTTCTGCTAGCCTGGGCAGATTCTACGCTGGAAGGAGGAAGTGCAGGCGGGCAGCCCGGGAGGGATTGTCCTTGGCCCCTGATCCTGCTGAAGGGGTATCCAGTATCAGGTCTCCTGGCCCCCCAGGCTAGGCTTGGAGGCACCTCGTTCCCGGATTCTGTTCCTGGCACCACTGTTTGCTCTTGGAGCCTGAGGCCACAGGAAAAAGCTGGGCACCTCTGGAAGCTTTCAAGAAGGGACTGGACTGCCACTGTCAGAAACAGAGCCGGGCGGAGGGGGTTGGGCTAGATGACCTACAAGGTCCCTTCCATTGAGTCCCACTTCTGCCTGCTGCTCCTTAGGCAAACAGCCGTGTTCCCCAGCCTTGCAAGTCAACTCCAGGTCATGGACTTTCCCCGCCACAGGCAAAGGAGCGCAAGGGAGCCATTGGGGCTGATTCAGAACTCAGTTCCAATGCCCCACCCTAGGTTCCTCAAGGAAGTGCTGGCTTCCAACCAGAGAATGAGGAAGCTTAGCAGAGGAGCCCTTGCAAAGGGACACACACACACACACACACACACACACAAAGAGAGCAAAGAAGGAAAGCAGAGAAGCCGTTGCCCCCAGCCTATTTTTAGGATTGAAATGCGTGCTTAATTTCCAAGTGGCTATCAGGGTGTCAACCTTTTAATGGCTATCAGCAGCAGAGGACTAACCAGACTGGCTGCAACCTCTAGCTTAATCAGCACCCTCAAAAATCAAGGCTCTTCCAACTTGGCAAGTTTAAGACTTGTGGGCTTCAACTCCCAGAATCCCTGAGCTACCATGACTGGAGGAGGAATTCTGGAAGTTGAAGTCCAGAAGTCTTAAAGGTGTCAAGTTTGAAGGCCCCTGCTCAAAATCTTTGTGAAAGCCCCCCTCTTAAGGAGGAACCAGGAGAAACCACCTCCAAGTCCAAAGGCCACAGAGGAGCAATAAACACGGGCCTTTGAAGGGTGAATTTAGACCTCAGCACCAACCAACCAACCACCCGCTTCTCCAAAGGATTCCGTTTCTTTTGCCCACTTGGGAGAAACGTTGCACTTGGTGCCTCTTGACAAACTATTCTTGTGGCTAAAGGTTAACCATCTTTTCCGACATCAGAAGAGGCGCCTACTGGTTTCTTTGAGCTTTTTATAGGTGTTCAGGGAAATAAAAATGTGTGGGGTTAGCCCCTCAAGAGATGGGGAGGGAGGCCTGCAAGACTGGCCTCCGGGTGCTCTCCGGTCAACCTTGGTGGGTTTTTATATCATGGCAGTTAAAACCGCTAGCAAGCAAAGAAACCCCTGCAGAATTCAACGGTGATTGCACACCAAACAAGGAGTCGTGAAAGGACCAGCTCTTCTAACGGCACGGATGCTCTGAGGGTACGGAGTGCAGAATTTTACTACTTCAGGAACCACTAAAAAATACCACCATAACTGAGCCAAGCCCACCAGCATCGCAAAGGGCTCTCCGTCAGTTTGGACTGGGGTACCAGCAAGCGTTTCCCCTAAATCGACAGAAACGGATGCCTGCGTCCATCTACCTGTAAGGCTGACCTAAGTGGGTGGCTTCCCTTCTGTAGTCTGAATGGGTAGGGCCCAAAATTTGGGGAGCTTTGATAATGGAGTGGAAGATTCTGGGGGGGCAGTGGGGTTATATACGAGGTACAAAGTCAAGCCACGTAAACATTGGAAAGCAGCCATTTCATTCTTTAACTCTCCTGGGCCCACTTGCCCTCCAACAGGTGCCCCTTTTAGAACCCCCCAGGCCTCAACTTTTTATTTAAAAAAAATAAAATCCAACGCTGCCCTCAATCCCACAGAAACTGGTTTTTCTTGCAGTTGCTTCCCGGTCCTCAAACATTTCGGATCAAGTAGGCTTAACGCTTCTCCAGTAGGAAGGTCTTTCTGAGTGCCTCTTCGGTGCCGGCTGTTCTACGGGCAGTGTGTGCACGCAAAGACCATTTTTATCCCCCCCCCCCGGCTTTTTAATTCATTAAAACCTTTTTTGGGGGGGGTGGGGGAAGATGCAGAAACGTGGCTGAGCGAGGAAAAACAAGCCTTTTAATAAAACGCAAACCTTCGTGGCGAGGGAAATGGGAAGGAGACCGGGGCTTAAGCAAGGACTGTCACGCAAAACCTCTCTTCCCCCCTCCCCCTTTTGCCACTATTCAAAGCCTGTCCCTGGAAATCACACCCCACTTCTGCTCCTGCTGGCTCTGCCCCACAAATGCAAAGTCAGCTTCACCTCCTCTTCCAAAAGGAGCAAGTACAGCACCCACAAGTGCTCTAAAAATAGAGCAGCCCCTACACCTTATGGTTACGTTTTGTGCTACGGAACTGCGACTAAAAATGCACACCCAGCAGCGGGTCAGGCCTGAGAGCCTTATTAATGTGCCTTTTCCCCCCCCCCCCCCCCGGTGTGTGTGTGTGTGTGTGTGTTAGGCTAGCTTTCCTGCCAGCATTGTAGAGCCTAACGCACAAAACAAGGGGAGAGCCTCTTGCCACCTTATAAAACCTCCAGGAAGGGGGAAAAAAAAATAACCATCTTCTCAACCACTCGGAAGGAAAGAAAGCCTGCTCCGTTTGAGGCACCACGCTTAATTGGCATGGTGGTTAAGCGATCCCTCCTTTGCAAGCAAAACAGAAATTAAACGGGCCATCTGAAGTGAGAGTGCCAGCCGCTAAGGAAGGAAGGAGAAAACAAAAGCCTGGCCAGAGGGCACGGAAAGAAAAATAAGATGGATAAGGCCTCTAATGAAAAACAGCTTGGCCCAGGAGGCACAGAGAGTCATCTCAGTAACTTCAAGAAACACTTGGAAAAGTAAGCCATGGGTTCGAAAGGATCAGACGGTTTGCCCAAAACACTATCTATATATATATATATATATAGTTTAAAAAATGTAGTTAATATAGTTTAATATATTTTAAATATAGTTTATATATATTTAAAAAATGAAATCATAGACAGCTAGGTTTGTTTCGATTTAGGCTGCCGCTACAGAAACTCTGCAAGCGCTGTGGCTTTTCTTTAATATGCTTCGATTCTTTTACCAAATGTCTTGTTCACTGGTAGCATTAAAAGGGTTGTGGGGTTATTCCAACCCTCCTAACACAACGGTGTGTTTCTTGCTATGCATAGCAATGACCTACAAGCCAGTAAAAAGAGAACTTGTGGGTAAGTCTGTGAAACCAAAGGAGCGCATCGTTGCGATGCGGGCACTCAAGGCTTGCAAATTCTGCAAGCGTCAAAATACATTTCTGATTGGTTCTGGAACATGCAAGCCGAAAACAAGTTCTCACGCTTAGGATTTGTGACTTGCCGCCACTCCCAGCAAAATCAAGTCGACCAGAAGAACAATTCTGTTCAGCACGAGGCTGTTCAGGCTTTGCCTCTCAGTGGGAAAGCGATAGGTTTTTAAATTGGAGCACTTCCTGTTGTGGTAGCCATTAGTTAAGAAGGGAACTGCTGCCCCAGGCAAGAAGCATTTCATTCTGGGCGTGCAAGCTGGAGAGATCTGCATCGCGCTGGCCTGTGACTCACAAGGCTGGGTGGCAAGCCGATACGGTTCCGTATTGATCCACAAGATGGGTTTGTGTTTTGGGAATCCGCCGAGTTACTGGTAGAAGCTGGCCCAAATCCACTTTGAAAGACACACAGCGTCAGGTGCTCCTGCGAGTACACAGGCCACAGTGACAACCCCACCTCTAGGACTCAATGACTCACCTTGTGTCTCTAGGAGCGCCCACTCTATTGTGTCCCGCAAACGCTAGCTACAGAAGGACACTCTCTCTTTCATTGAGCAAACCCAACACGCTCAAATCAGGCCGATGCCTTTCCTCACACCAATTTCCAACTGCTGAAGTCGTTAAGCCTACTGGGCCTGAGGAGAACCTACCGTGTTTCTCATATAATAAGGCCGGGTCTTATTTTTTTTTGAGCCCCGAAAAAATGGCTAGGCCGTCTTTTCGGGGGGTGACTTAATTTCCCTTCCCCCTTGCATCTTCGGGCGGGCGGCGATGGCTTGGATGTTGACCTCGGCGTTGGTGGGGCACTTCGTATCGGGGTCCACGCAGGCAGCACCATATCCGGGTGTGCAACAAAAGTACTTCCTAACGGCAAGCCCCCCCACCATTCCCCCCCATTTCGCATGTTTTAATATAGGCCTTAATTTGGGGGGAGGGGCTTAATTTCATTTCATGCCTATAAAACATGCTGGGACTTCCTATTGGGGGAGGCCATATTGTTGGAGAAACAGGGTACCTTCTCCCAACAGGAGAGCAGGTTAAGATGCAGAACCTTACTTCAAAATAGAATCTCAGAGCCATTCCAGTCCAACCCGGTGCCCACTCGAGAAATAGAAGCCTGCCCGCCCAGTTGCTTCTTTGCTTCCACAAGAGTAATTTGTTTTCACAATTAGTCCTGTGATGGGAGATCTCCTCCCCCACACCCCCAGCAATATCCAGACCTCATCTTCTCACACTGCATATTGTATCCCCATTACATCTCAGCTGCACTTCACAGTCGATGCCCCAACAGACAAAAGACCAATGGCATCTTCCCCTTCGGTACTCCAGCCACAACAGAACTCAACAGCAGAACACAAGCATCGCGTTTAGTCCCCCCCCCGCAAAGCCTTTTTTCTCAAGAAACTGAGGGTTTCATTCCCTGTATAGGCTATTATTATTTCTCTTCTGAGAAAAAAGAAAATAAGAGAAAAAAATGTATCATCTTCACAGCAAGACTGCCCGGTCCTCTCTGCCCAGGCATTTTTGATACCCTTCCCCTTTCTTCTCCTCCTCCTCCTCCTCCACCACCACCCCTAAGATTACTTAAAGATCCTACAACCCTGAGCGTGGGAGGGATCTCTCAAACTCAGCCTCTTGACTTCCTCCAGATTTGCCATGTGCCCATCTCTAATTTTATCCACTGTTACCATTCCTGGAAAAACTTACAATCCAGACTTGCACTTTGAGCACCAGAGGAAAATAAGCAATCCTTATTTTAGAAATCTGGGTGGGCCTTGCTTTCACCTCTTGGTCCTCATTCTTTCTTTACTCCACCCAGCCAGATAGAACTCCTTCTCTCCTTTTGAGAAATATATTGAAGGAAAGAAACACAGGCATTTTTCTTTTCTTTTCAGTACACAAATTCCATGTCTGTTGCTCCCCTACTTTCGTCGTCAGTCGATTCCCCCATCTTTCCTCCGCTCCCCATCACTTTCAGTCTCCCCAATGAAATTACCTCACAATTGTCGATTATGATGCCCTTGAGGTGGGTATGGAGGGGGGGGGGGCATCACAGTACTGCCTCCTGTCTCCCAACACCCCTCATCTCTCCGTAACTTATTCTCTCAGGCCAAAGAGCTATAATTACAGGTCTTCCTCAATTCAGTGTCAGAAATAAACCTTAACTTCCTGCCAAGCACAGTTCCTCTGCTTAAGACATCTCCAAATTAACATAGTAGCTGGAGGGAGGGAAGAAAGGAAGAAGAAATGGAGGGAGGGAGGGAGGGATATGGAAGGAAGGAGAGACATGGATGGATGGGAGAGAGAGAAGATATGGAGGGAGGGAAGATATGAAAGGAAGGAGAAATAAAGGGAGGGAGAGAGGGAGGGATATGGAAGGAAGGAGAGAC